CGTCCTCCTCCTCCTCCTCCTCCTCCTCCTTCTTGGCCAGGCGCTGGGCACCGCAACGAGAGCGCGACGCTGGTGCACTCGGTGCACGGCAGGCGCCGCAGGAGCACCACCGACCGGCCGCCCAGGCGGGCCGAGCCAGCCCTCTTAAGACGCTCCTGCGCAGGGTGCTGCGGCACGGACCAGGGGTCGACGACCCTCCCCGCGGTTCGAACTCAGGAGGAGGAGGAGGAGGAGGAGGAGGGAGGAGCGAGGAGAGGAGGAGGAGGATGAGGGAGGAGGAGGAGGAGGAGGAGGAGGATGGGAGGGAGGAGGAGGAGGAGGAGGAGAGGAGGAGGAGGAGGAGGATGAGGTGAGGATGAGGAGGAGGAGGAGGAGGAGGAGGAGGAGAGAGGAGGAGGAGGAGGGGAGGAGCATGAGGAGGAGGAGGAGGAGGAGGAGAGGAGGACGATGAGGAGGAGGAGGACGAGGAGCGGAGGAGGAGGGAGGAGGGGAAGAGGAGGAGGAGCAGGAGGAGGAGGAGGAGGAGGAGGAGGGGGGAGCAGGAGGAGGAGGAGGAGGAGGAGGAGGAGGAGGAGGAGGAGGATGATCATGATGATGATGACGATGATGATGATGAGGAGGAGGCCAAGGCAGAGGAGGCCAAGGTGGCCGAGGTGCGCTTATTACACCAGAGGAGGGAGTCGGCGGCAGCGAGGCTTCATACATCAGACCGGGAAAGCCACCTCTCTTCTCCTGTCGCTAGAACCCCGAGGGCCGACGACGACGACGACGACGACGGGGCTAGGCCTCATACATCAGAGGAGGCAAAGTCGGCGGCGAGCTCAGGGGGGAAGTCAGAAGGGGCGGGCCTTGGCAGAAGGCTCGGACGACCTCGGACCCTCTGATTTTTGTTTGGAGCCTTTCCTCGAAGACGCGGACAACTCCTCAGAAGGCTGGAAGGCCATTGGGAAGCCCCGCCGCCATCTGAGAAGGCCTGCTCCTTCTCACTCCCCCTCCCCGGGCGCGCCGCCGAATCAGAGGAGGGAAATGTAGGAACGAGCCCTTTCTGTGGTCGACTGTAGGGTCCCCCCCAGGTTCGACCTGGGGAGGGGGGGCCTCCTACAACGGCTCCAGCCCCCGAACTCCTGGGGGGTGCCCCTCCGAGAGCCAGGGGGTCCCCTCCCCCCGGTGGGGGTGGCCAAGAAGGCTCCCCTCCCCCGAAGGGGAGGGCCCCCACCCTTCCTCCCCTCGCTAGGATCCCGCAACGACGACGACGCTACGCCGCCGCGACGACGACGACGTCGGCGACGACGACGACAACGACGACGACGACGACGGCAACGGCGACGACGACGACGACGACGACGACGACCTCGACGACGACGCGGGGGGGGGGCCAGCAAGCGCACGCGACGGCGACGACGATGGCGATAGGACAGGAGGCCGGCACGCGCAAACGAGGATCATGACGATGGCGTCGACGACGGCGACGTGGAAGACGAGGACGACGACGACGACAAGTTTCAGTCATTGTCCCGCCTGTAAGTCCTGCGTTTGTGGCGGTCGTGATGCATTTTCCCATGACATTTCCCGCCCGCCCTTGAGATGGATGCCTCTTGCTTGAACGAATGGTTCCATCCATTAATGTCCCGCCCGCCCGAACGGCGTCTTCGGCGGTTGTGAGCGATTTTCCCTTTGACTTTCTCATTTCACATAGTGAAGGTTTCACATGATGTCCCGCCCGCCCAATTTGGACGCCACATCACTGACTACAGGTTTCATGTGATGTCCCGCCCATCCGCCTGGCGTCTTTGGCGGTCGTGATACATTCTCCCATGACCTTCCCCTAACACAGAGAGAAGGTTGCATCTAATGTCCCGCCCGCCCGATATGGACGCGTCATCATTGAGTGAATAGTTCCTTTAATGTCCCGCTCGCCTGACCGGCGTCTTCGGCGGCTGTGAGCCGTTTTCCCTTCACCTTTCTCACTTCGCAGAGTGAAGCTGCATATTCTAAGCCGCTCGAGGCGAAACATTATTTTGCCCCAGCGCCTTACTTTGCTTTGGAGCTTAAGATCTGATATGCCTGCTCATGTTCCCTCCCTCCCCAACTCCCTTTCCGCCGCAGCCGGACTTGCGGCAGCAGGCGCTTTCGGTCCCAGCCCCATCTGCGGCGACGAAAGGGGAAGGGCGATGACGACGACGACGACGACGACGACGACGACGACGACGACGACGACGACGACGACGACGACGACGACGACGACGACGACGATGTCAACGAGGACCACGAGGACGACGCGGACGACGACGACGAAAACGACGACGACGAGGACGTGGACGACGATGACGACGAGGAAGTCGAGGGCGAGGACAAGGGCGACGGTGACGACGTGTTTTTTTGCTGGATTTCGGCCCTTCCAGAACGGTCGGCGGGCCTTGGGACCGTCAGAAACGGTGCTCCTCCTCCTCCTCCTCATCCTCGTCCTCCCCCTCCTCCTCCTCCTCCTCCTCTTCCTCCTCCTCCATTCCTTCTCCTTGCAGATAATTTCTCCTTGTCGCAGCCCGAGGTCTGTTTTTAGGGCGGGCCAGGTGCTTCGCCTGAGACTTCCTCACCATTTCTGATTCCGAAGCTTTAGACGTGGCAACAGTTTCACAGATGGAGGGCGGGTCGCTTTCAAACTGTAGCTCCCGCCTTAGCGCCACGCACATTCGTTTAAGAACTTTGCAGCAGTTTCACGGATTGAGGGCGGGCCGTTTTCAACATGTGGTTCTCTACCTAGCGCCGCGCACATTCGTTTTCAACACTTGCAAGAGTTTCACGGATTGAGGGCGGGCCGTTTTCAAAATGTGGTTCTCGCCCTACCGCCGAGAACAGTCGTTTAGATTTGAAAGAGTTTCGCGGGTTGAGGGCGGTACCTTTTCAAAATGTGGCTCTCGCCCTAGCGCCGCGCACATTCGTTGTCAAAATTTGCAAGAGCTTCACGGATTGAGGGCGGATCGTTTTCGAAATGTGACTCTCGCCCTAGCGCCGCGCACAGTCGATTAATTTTGCAAGCGTTTCACGGATTGAGGGCGGTACCTTTTCAAAGTGTGGCTGTCGCCTTAACCATGAAGGGATCGGCTCGGTTCGGTTCGGTCCGGTTCTGCAGCCGGGTCGGTTTTGCTTGGCCGGTTCGGTTTGGCATCGGTCTGGTTTCGGCCGGTTCGGCTTGGGCCTGCCGCCGGTTCGGTTTGGTTCCGGTTTTCGCGCGGTTGGGTCCGACCGGTTCGGTTCGGTTCGAGTGGCCGCTCCGGTTCGGTTCGGCCCGACTGGTCAGGTGCGACGTTGGGCGCCCCGTCTGCGTAAGCGACGACCCAGTTTGAAAAAAAGGGAGGGAGGAGGAGGAGGAGGAGGAGGAGGAGGAGGAGGAGGAGGAGGAGGAGGAGGAGGAGGAGGAGGAGGAGGAGGAGGAGGAGGAGAGAGGAGGAGGAGGAGGAGGAGGAGGAGGAGGAGGAGGAGGAGGAGGCGGAGGCGGAGGCGGAGGAGGGAGGAGGAGGACGACGAGGAGGAGAAGGAGGAGGAGGGGAGGAGGAGGAGGAGGAGAAGGAGGAGGAGGAGGAGGAGAAACGTTTGTGGGGGCCTCAAGAATATACATCACCACCACGTCGATTCCTCTCTCCTTTACCCTCCTCGTCCTTCCTCTTTCCTGGGTGGAGGGAGGGAGTGAGGGAGGTGGTGGAGGGTGGTGGTATATTTTTGGGCCCCCCATCTTGGGGAGGAGGAGGAGGAGGAGGAGGAGGAGGAGGAGGAGGAGGAGGAGGAGGAGGAGGAGGAGGAGGAGGAGGAGGAGGGGCTCTGTTTTGGGTTCTTTCTTGGGCCATCTTGGGCGCCCCGTGGGTCGTGCCGGGCCCTCCTCGGCCGCCCGGGTCCCTCCTGGGGGCTTCTCGAGCCGCCTCGGGGCGGTGTTGGGTGCCTCTTGAGCCTCGGAAGTCGACAGACCTCCTACCCTGACACGTCGATTCGCGAATTGGCCGTTTTCGGTTCGCGAGAGGGCGTCGCGGCCGTCATTGTTGCGGGTCCAGGTCCGTCGGTTTCGGTGGTAGGCCCTTTTCCCGACAGGGTGGTTTACTGAAGGGGGGGTTGTCCACCGCCGAGACACGGCCTCGCGATGGCTGGGCTTTCCTCGGCCGCGGCCACGCGCCTGCGGGGCGGCCGTGCGCGAAAAGGCTTCGCGCGGAATGTCTCCATGCGATCGCGCGCTTCTGGGATCGCGCCTCGGACCCAGAGATCCGACGCTCCAAAAAAGTTACATAAGTTGGAACTGTCTGATTTGGGCTGTTTTCGGCCTCCAGGGGCCCTCGCCGGGCCATGGAACCGTCAAACATCCAACCAACCCTTTAGGGCGTATGTGGTCTACGAAGTTTCCTCTTCCAACCCCCTTCTTCCCCTTCGAGGAAGGGTTTACCCTCCCCCTTCCCCCTCCCCTGGACATGGACGGGGGGTTCCGCGGGTAGTTGGAGCGTCCAAAACGGCCTCGGCGAGGAAGCCAAAATCATTGGTTTTACTAAGGTTTAAGCCCCATTTTGGCCTCCTGGAGGGGGGACCCTAATTAAGGACCCTCCTTCTTTGATCGATCTCCTCCGATATGGCCCCAAGAGCGCTCCAAAGGCTCCCCAGGGTGCCCCAGGAGGGCCCGCAGCCCCGAGGGGGGTTGCACCCGCCAGGGGGGTTGCACCCGCCAGGGGGGGTGCGCCCGCCAGGGGGGTTGCACCCGCCAGGGGGGTTGCACCCGCCAGGGGGGTTGCACCCGCCAGGGGGGTTGCACCCGCCAGGGGGGTTGCGCCCGCCAGGGGGGTTGCGCCCGCCAGGGGGGTTGCACCCGCCAGGGGGGTTGCACCCGCCAGGGGGGTTGCGCCCGCCAGGGGGGTTGCGCCCGCCAGGGGGGTTGCGCCCGCCAGGGGGGTTTCGCCCGCCAGGGGGGTTTCGCCCGCCAGGGGGGTTGCACCCGCCAGGGGGGTTGCACCCGCCAGGGGGGTCGCACCCGCGAGGGGGGTCGCACCCGCCAGGGGGGTCGCACCCGCCAGGGGGGTCGCACCCGCCAGGGGGGT